TGTCCCCAGCTTTCTGGTCCAGGTTCTGTTCTGTACTCCTCACAAACGTCAGACTGAAGGAAGGTCTTTTTAGCCTTTGTGTAGATAGGGTTTGGCTCTCTGGCTAACAGAAGAGAGCATTCTGTTCAGCCAGCAGCACACAGTTCTCACCTCACTAATAAGATTACTGTCACAGAAATGAAATACAAGCCCTAGACCAGCCAGTATGGGCAATTCAAAAGTCTGCCCAAGGGAAACCCATTCATTATGTTAGTGCTTTAAAAAATCTAGGGGATTGGAAAGAAAATTGCCAACCTCTTGCAGTTCCATTTCCCTCCCATAATGTCGTCATGGCAACTCAGCATCCCTCTCGATCCTCTCTAGTCAACTACATACATTGTGGTATTGAAGCAGGCTCCCTCACCTCCCCCAAAATTGCCTTTGCCAAGAAATTTTCAGCTGGGAGTTAATGTTATATAAGGTTGAGGAACAGCTTTTTTTGGTCTAGGACCTGTTCATTGTAAGTGACATTATACATGCATTGTAAGTTTGCATGGGGTTGGTAACAAAAAAAAAATTTTGTTAGGTTTCAAAAAAAAAAAAAAAAACCCAAACAACATTTGTGTAATTTGAGAGACAGTAATATGCCTGTCAGTATTACGTTGCCAAGCACAATATCCATAAAAAGCTCTTTTATAAGCTTGCAATATCCTGATTTACAAGAAAGGAAAATCTTATTAGAGCAAATTCTGAGAGTTAAGGGATTGAGGCATGCTCAATCTAATTGCCGTTGACAAACAGCTCACTCTCGTGAGAATTTCAGGGTTTAGCATTTGCTTTTTTTTCTGGGTTTTTTTGTTTGTTTGTTTGTTTTTAGAGATGAGATATTTCAGTAGTGCTCTGGCAATAGATACAGTGAGTTCAAAACAAGAAAGACAACAGGACCTGCAAGAAGGCTCAGCAGGTAGAGGGGCTTGCTGCCAAGTCCAGCAACCTGTGCTTGGTCCCCAGGACCCACATAGTAAGAGGAAATTGACCTCTGAAGTTGTCTTCTGACCTCCACACATCTGCCATGACACAAGCATGCATGCACACACAAATAAATGAATAAATGAAAAGTGTAAAAAGATTTTTTTACTAAAAGAAACTACAACAGGATTTTTCTTTTTAATCATTGAACTAGAAAATACTTGTTTTAAGATTAGCTCAAGGTTTGGGGATATAGCTCAGTTGGTAGAATGCTTGCCTAGCATTTTTGAAGCCCTAAGTTTGATCCCCAGCATCAGATGAATGGGGCATAGTGACATGATAATCCCAGTACTGAGACTGGGGAGATAAGAATATTAGAAGTTCAAGGTCATTCCTCTTGGCCTCATTCCAAATTAGAAGCCAGGCTGTGCTACCCAATACTCCATCTCAAAAACAAACAACCAACCTTCAAAAGTCGTTCACCCACTCTGTTAATTAACTTAGTAATTGTTTTTCCTTTTGTTTTTCTGATATAGGACCTTACTATGTAGTCCAGGATAGCCTCAAACTGGAATTGTAATTCAGGCCTCCCCCCCTGCTTCAGTCTCCCTGGCGTAACAAGCAGAGGGTCCCATCATTCCTTATTAGATTCAGATACCCCTTCATCATTTAAGTTATCTTTATGATTAGAGGAGGCTAGACCATTGTTGAAGAAAAAAAATTATTTATGAAACTTATCAGAGAATATTAAGGCAGGGACTGGAGAGAGGCTCAGTGGCTAAGAGCACTTGTTGCTCTTCCAGAGGACCCATGCTTGATTCCCAGTACCCATAACCACCTGAATCTACAGGTACAGGGGACCTGACATTCTCTTCTGGCCTCCATGAATACCTGCACACATGTAGCACACACACACACACACACACACACACACACACACGCTCACACATGTAACAACAATAAAAAAAAAAAGCCTTTAAAAAGTTGATGAGGTAAGCAGACTTTTCTACTACAAAGTCTCACCGCACAGCCCCAAGGCAAGAGAGACCCCAAATCACATCGGAATATAACAAGGAAAGCGAAGGTGTAAAAGTGGAGCAGAGCTCGGAAAATTACTAAGAGGGAGCGTCGTGGGATAGAGGGATTGCGGCCAAAGTGACATGACAGAATCATTTCTGCAGGTAGACTTGGTTCCTAAGATGGTGGTGGGGATAAGGGATTGGATCACTCACGGGCTGGGTCGTCTCTCTAAGCTGACCTCGCAAGGTTCCCATACCAAAGGAAGCAGAGATGAGCAGCAGAAGCCCCAAAGTTAGGACCCCGAGAGGAGTCAGCTGTAGGGGCAAGTACAAGGTACCCATGGCCCCAGGGAGGTGCAGAAAGGAAGACAAAAATGTTGGAGGGCACGAAAGTTACGTGTAGTTTTTGGAGAGCCTTCGAAGATAAGCTCTAGTGAAGTGGTTCTCAACATGTGGGTTGTGACTCCTTCGGGTCTGCATTTTAGATATTGACATTACGATTCATAACAGTAGCCGAAGGACAGTTGTGAAGTGGCGATGAAAATAAGTGTGGGTGGGTTCTGATGATGTAGCAGGAAGCTGGGTTCGGTCACTAGCAGTGGGTAAGCAGTTAGGGTGGTGCACACCTGTACTGTGATCCCAGCACTCTGAAGGTAAAGACAGGAGCATTCAGGGTTCAGGATCATCCTAGGGCTATACAGTGAGTTTGAGGAAGGCCTGGCCAACATAAAATGCTGTCTCAAGGAAGGAAGAGAGGCGGGGAGACAGGGAGGAGAGACAGAGAGACAGAGAGACAGAGACAGAGAGATGCTGGGAGCTGCAGATATATAAAGCAGGAATTCAGCTGACAGTGGCAAAAGCTATTACCTGGAAGAGTCAAGAACTCTTCCAGAGGATAAAGCCAAAACTCAAGGAGTCTTGGTGATAGTGGCTTCTGAATGTATTAGCTGTTTCCTGCAGCAAATCTCTTGTGTGCTACTGTAGCTTTCCTGTTTGATTCTTTTCCCAACAACTTTTAACAGTGTGGTTGATCATCCATTGGGCACAATTTCCCCTATACTATTGGGGTGTTTGGATAACATCCCCCAACTGTGTGGACAACAATCACACAGTTAAGACTCCTTTTTAATCAGGCTTTTGTTCCTTTTTTAGCATTAGACTCAGAAGTCTGCCTTTCTGTAATTATCTCCATTAGCACATATCCAGCTAGGGCCATCTCCAGACAAAAGCATTTTATCTGAGATATTCTAGAACATCTAAGGACAGACTGAAGATAAGGTAAATATCCTGCTAGTTTCCTGAAATAAGGTAAATATCCATACTGAGACAACCGCCAAGGCCAGGCAGATATTAGGTACAAAGCTTTGTTTCTTGTACAAATTAAGTTTAAGCTCTTTCTTCCATAGCCCAAATGGTATCTCTAGTTCTAAAAGATTTCCCCTTTAACATACCAGGTGCATCAAGCTGTGCTGAAGGATACCTAGCTACCGAGTACACTTCCCTCACCCTGCCAGAAAATGGCACAGCTGACATAAGCTGAGACAGATACAGTGCCAAAAGAAAAAAAGGCAGTTTTAGTTTACTCATGACTTATAGTGACTTATAGACTCCTAACATTTTACCTAACCACTTCTAAGAATATAGTTTGAGCACATAAATTCCCTCTTCACCAATTTCAGCCCTTAGTTGACCCCACCTCCTTTAATCAACCCTTTTTGGGGGTTATAAATGAAACTGACAATCTTATCACCTTTCTTTTATGACCCTGAAAGCCTCTCATTGCATTGTCAAAGTATTACTGCTTGTTAGTGTCTATATACCAGTACCCCCACAGCTCTGGTGGAATTTGACTGAGAAGAATAAAGTATGGACCAAAGAGCTCAGTGTACTTAGATTCATTCGACATTCCTCAGATTAATTCTTTGCTGCTGGTAGCATCTCTTCTGGAACTCTGGGAGAATTCCTCTCAGGGCAGGTACCTGGGGGAGATTTCAATACCTGGCACCTGAACAGGGACATGAACCTTGGACCCTCAGACCACCAAGGCTCCTTGAGTTTTGGCTTTATCCTCTGGAAGAGTTCTTGACTCTTCCAGGTAATAGCTTTTGCCACTGTCAGCTGAATTCTACTTCATATTTCTGTGGCTTGCAGCAGAGAAAGAGAGGGAGAGGGAGAGGGAGAGGGAGAGGGAGAGGGAGAGGGAGAGGAGAGGGAGAGGGAGAGGGAGAGGGAGAGGGAGAGGGAGAGGGAGAGGGAGAGGGAGAGGAGGGAGAGGGAGAGGGAGAGGGAGAGGGAGAGGGAGAGGGAGAGGGAGAGGGAGAGGGAGAGGAGAGAGAGAGAGAGAGAGAGAGAGAGAGAGAGAGAGAGAGAGAGAGAGAGAGAGAGAGAGAGAGAGAGATTAAACAGCAAGGATTTGGGTCCTAGAATAAGTGTCTCTCAAAAGAGTACTTATGGTGGGGCAGGGGCGGGCAGAAGTATGTTCACTGCACAAGGGGAGGATACAGAGAAAGCTAGGGTGAAGCCAAGATAGATGTTAAAAGACCTGGAATGCCACCCTGAAGAATTACCTCAATTTTGTGCCTGTGTGTGTTGGTATATGCGGGAGTGTGCTCCTGTGTGGAGGCCAGTGGATGGTTTTTGGAGAGCCTTGTCGAGTATGATCCTCCATTAGTCTCCATCATGTTCTCTTGAGATGGGGTCTCTCCCTGAACTCAATGCTTACTGATTTTAGACTAGGCTGCAGGCCCGGGCGTCTTCTTCACCCACATCCCAACATGCCTTCCTCACCAGCAGTAGTGTTGAGGCAATAGGCGTGAGTGCCTGTGACCAGTTTTTTTTATGTGGGTGCTGGGTATCCGAACTAAGGTCCTCACACTTGCTCACCAGTACTCTTACTCACTGAGCCTCCTCCCCAGCACCACCCTGAAGAATTTATACTTCACAGAGAAGTGAATGGTAGTTATCGCAATCCCTCCTAAGCAGAGATCTGTGCTGGGAAAGGTAAGCTGCCATGGAGCTTTAAAGCCAAAGAAGTTCAAAGTTCGTGCTGTTTATTTTATTCTTGTCCAAAAGATATAAAGTATAGTGAATGAGTGCTAATTTTCCATACCCTTTCTGACTGAATCAAGTAGGGCTTTTGGCGTGTACATACTTTAAGTCTTCCGAGGAGCTGGGCAACCTCAGTGTCCTTGATTATAAAAACTGGGCCGCTCGCTATCATACCTTAACTCACGGATCTGGTTTCCACTGACCTACCAATGTCCCCGAAGCTCCACCCGCCCCACCTGTACAGCTGGCCTCCATGACAGGCTGCCCAGCTTCCTTGTGGGGTGACTCTCCTGCTGGGACTCTCCTTGAAGAGTCAAGTGATTTGAAAAGTGCCAGATCACATTTGGAGCTGATGTGAAGAAGCCGTATTAAAAGCATTACAAGGACTCTCCTGTCGGTTGCTCTTGAAGTTCAGGGGAACTGATGAATCTGACCTTGGAATCAGCTGACTGTACCGTTGAAGCAAAGTGATTGGGCAAACAGAGGCTGCAACAGTGGCCGCAACAGTGGCCGGAGCCTGGCTCTTCCCACTGAGAATCTTCGAATCCTTTGTCCGTCAGCTCCACTTCTTTGCAGTAGACAGCAGAGATCCAAGCGTTAGACTGTAGCAGAAAGAAGGGTGACAGAGATTGAAAATCTGAGCTTGGGGACTTGGTCCTCATTGCCCCTTGGTTATCGAGCCTCAGTCATCACTAATAACCCGAGCTTGCCCTGGCAAATGCCTTGTAGTGCTGGGGATAAACCCAGGGCCTCACGGCTGCCGGGCTCAGGGCCTGAGCTGTGCCCACATCCCTCTGGCCTCATTCTGAATTCAACCTGTGCATCCTTAGGAGAGTAATCTTTAAACCTCTTTAAACCATGAGGGTTTAATTTTTTTAATTAATTATTTTGGGTGTGTATATGATATACATGTGGGTGTTCATGTCACAGTGCATGTATCAGAGGATAATTCTGTGGAGTCAATTATCTCCTCCCACCCATGCATGGGTTCTAGGGATTGAACTCACATCTCCGGGTTTACGTGGCAAGTACCTTTACTCACTGTACCATCACTCTGGCCCTCCCTAGAGTTTTCATTTTCTCAGCGTAGATTATATTTTCCTTGTAGGAATGATTATGAGAATAAAGTTACGTGGTTTCTTCAGAACAATCTACAGAGATGGGAAAAGTCTACATAGAGATGAATTGTACTTGACTGTAAGGCAAAAATACTGGCTTCCTGAAGTCTGAAAAACTTTCAAACTGTTTCAGAATAAAAAGTTATTTTTTAAGATAGACTTTAAAAAAAAAAATGACCACAAGCCAGGTGGTGGCGGCACATGCCTTTAATTCCAGCACTCAGAAGCAGAGGCAGGTGGATCTCTGTGAATTTGAGGCCAGCCTGGTCTACAAAGTGAGTTCCAGGACAGCCAGGGCTGGTTACACAGAAAAACCCTGTCTCAAAAAACCAAAACCAAACCAAACGAATGAACATCGATGCCACTTAGAGTTGTAGTCGTTTATACATATGGCGGTACCTGCTTGCTTGTACATCCCAGTAATCAGCCTTACTTCTCAGAGCTGCCCAGCCAGTCAGAAAACGAATCCAGCATGCTGAATCAACCACTGGTGTATTGGTAGACACAATTATCTTTAGGTGGGTGGGTTTTATTGTCACACTGGAGAGCACAGAAGCCAGCTTGTCTCTGAAAACTTCTCCAGGAGACTGGGGACACTGGGACAGCTTTAGCTGAGTGACTTTCTACTCACCCAGCTCCCTGCTGAGTCTCCATTCCTAATTATCCTTAGCAGCTGGTCCTTGTCTGTGAGAATTGAAGGAAGGTCCACAGGTCCAGGGGTGCAAAGCTCTGAGAGGGGAGGGATGAAGGGAAGATGATGGTGTGCCAGTGTCCTGTTGAGAGCTGTGTAACTCACACGGATGGGAAATAAATTCTTATGCCTACCAGAAGAGTCGCCAAAATGGGTCATAAATCCATTGCTGCTGATAAAAATGACAATGACGGACCGAGGAGCTAGAGCAGTGGTTCTCAACCTTCCTATGCTGCGGACCCTTTAATACAGTTCTTCAGGGTGTGACCCCTAAGCCTAAAATTATTTTTATTGCTACTTCATAACTGTAATTTTGCTAGTATTATGAATCTTAATGTCAATATCTGTGTTTTCAGATGGTCTTAGGGGACCCGTGAAAGGGTGATTTGACCCCCAAAGAGCCGTGACCCAAAGGTTGAGAACTGCTGAGCTAGAGGGACAGCTCAGCAGCTAAGAAAAGGACCCACCTTTGAGTCCCAGCACACACGTTGGAGGGCTCACAACCTCCTGTAACTCCGCTTCCAGGAACTACGACATCCTCTGCTGGCCTCCAAGAGCACCCATACACACATGGCGAACACTCACACAGACACATAAATAAAAATAAAATAAACCGTGAAAAACAAAAAAGAAAAAGGAACCCATGAAACAAACAATTTGGACTCAAATATTGAGTGTGCTTAGATGTGCATTCCGAAAACTTGCTCGGCGGCAGCTGTTGCAAATCAGTCTACTCCAAAAACAAGATTTATCACCACCATCTGTAGAAGCAAAAATTAGAGATGGATTTTATAGTCTGCAGCCTGTCTCCTAACAATGCCACACTTAGCAGCGATATATGAACTGATCGTGAGGACACACAATTCATTAAAAAGGATTTTTAACAAACCATTTAATAGTCACAACATTATTAGTATGGGGGGGGGGGGGTTTCTGTATTTTCATCCGTCATGTTTGAACAGTTGAATTAATCATCTTAATCAGATCTATTTTGATATTCAGAGGCTGTGTTCTCAAAAAGAAAATCAATGAAGCTATCTTAAAATTAAGTTTACATATGTTCATGCTAGAGGATATGATATAGTGATTAGTACACACTCCAGGAAATTACATCAAGAAAAAGTGTCCAGGGAGTGGGGTGCACAGGTATCTCAGAGGAAGGCTGAACAGCATAAAATTCCTCTTATGCACCCTCTTCAAATGTTTAGGTTCTGGGGGGATACTCAGTTGGCAGAGCCTCTGCTGTGCAAATTTGGGGACCTGATTCCAATCCCCAGAACCCACGGAAAACACAGGACTTACACTTGTAATCCCTGCCATGGGAAGGTGGAAATAGTCCAATCTCTGGGTGTAGCTAGAGTTTTCCTGCCTGGCCCACAGTCAGGGCAAATCTCTCTCACCTGCCAGTCCCACAGCCTCTCAGACCCGACCAAGTAAACCCAGAGACTTATATTGATTACAAACTGTATGGCCGTGGCAGGCTTCTTGCTAACTGTTCTTACAGCTTAAATTAATCCACTTCTATAAATCTATACCTTGCCACATGGCTCGTGGCTTACCGGCATCTTCACATGCTGTTTGTCATCATGGCGGCTGGCAGTGTCTCTCTGACTCAGACTTCCACTTCCCAGCTTTATTCTCCTCCTCCCCCCTTGTCCCGCCTATACTTCCTGCCTAGCCAATGGCCAATCAGTGTTTTATTTATTGACCAATCAGAGCAACACATTTGCCATACAGAACATCCCACAGCATCTGGGGCTTAAATTTACAAAAGTGAAGTCTCAGTTTTAAAATAGAAAATGAGTGTATGGAATCCACGGGCTAATTCTTGATACCCCTGGCCTACAGCATCCTAGATGGTTTATACCGTGACGGGTCATAAACAATACACTGCATCTCTGAGGCGTCCTCGAGGACATTAACGTGGTGTTTGCCTTTGTTCCACAGGACGGTCTGACGCCGCTGCACTGTGGGGCAAGAAGTGGCCACGAGCAGGTGGTAGAGATGTTGCTTGACAGGGCCGCGCCCATCCTTTCAAAAACCAAGGTAAGGTCTGCAGTTTCTGAACAGTACTGTACTCGGATCTGATTCTTTTTACCTGAGCCTTTGGAATGGGAGGAAAGCATGGGTACAGTAACTATTAAATAGAACCTAAGTTCGTCTGATTTTTAGAGGAGCTCGAAATCAGTTTGGGGTCTGGGGAAATGGCTCAGAGGACAAAGGCTTGCTCTGCCATCATGAGGACTATGCTTCAGGTCACCAGCACCCACGGAAAGGCTATATAAGCCAGTCAGTCAGGTGTGGGGGCCACCTGCCATCCCAGCATTCAAGAGGGCAGAGACAGAAAAACCTCCCTGCAAGCTTGCTAGCTAGACTAGCCAGAACTGGTATGAAGTGGGTTCAGCAAGAGACCCTCTCTCCATAAACCAAGTGGAAGGTGATTGATTGAGGCAGACGATCCACAGCCGACTCCAGGCATCTGCACGCATGCACGAGGGCATACACACCTACACACATGCAAACACACACACACATACACATGCAAAATACGTTTAGGCTTATGAAGCCTTTCTGTATAATGTGTTCTACAGCAAAGCCATTTTTTCGCTTGTTATTTTTGGTCTGTTATGCTTACTACTTCATGTTACACAATGAGACTTTCAGAGCTTGGCTGACTGCTGCTTTAAACAGACTCAAAGATCTACTTTCTGGCTGGGTTTGGAGTCTTTTTCTACACCCCCACCCCCACCCCAGTTTATTTCTTGAGAGTTTACAGGCTGGGGCTGGGGGATTCAGCTTAATGGTAAAGCCTTTGCCTGTCGTATACTGGGTCCTCAGTTCCATGCACATTAAAAACATTAAAATTCTGTTTACACACACACACACACACACACACACACACACACATACATACACACACACACACACACACACACACACACACACACACACACACATACACACACACACTGTGTGGGATTTGACCAGTAAGCCTACCTGCCCTTTTTTATTCCCAGCAGTCTACTGGAACCCTCCTGTCACCTCACAAAACCAAATGCACACCTCTCTCCCTGTTTCCGTGTTTAGCAATCACGAGGGCAACTTGAAACTGGTCGTAGAAAGGAACCCACCCACCCTAGTCTTTGGGGCCTGGGATGCGTTGAGAGCTCCGTTGTTTTAGAGGGCTGGCTGCTAAGCCTTGGTCAGCATGTCCATGTGCAGGTGTGTGCATGCTCAGGATCCCTCAGTGAGAAAAGCTGGTCACTGAGGCTAGGCTAGCAAGCAAGCTTTGGGGAGCCTCTTGTCTGTCCTAGCCCTGCGATGCCAGACAGACGCATGCTGCCATGCCTGGCTCTTTATGTGGCTTCCAGGGGATCGAACTCAGAGCCTCAGCATGGTGCAGCAAGCATTTGGCCAACTGTGCCATCTCCCTGACCCACCAAAGAGACCTTTTTGACTGTCTGGCCTACCTGTGCTCACCAGGTCTTTAAGTCAGTATCATCTGAGCAGGCTTCCTTTTCCTGCTGGCACTCTTTACACTGTTTAGAAAGAGCCTCTCTGGTGCAGTTGGCACATCCTTGCTGTCCGGGCTGGTCCTTCCTACATCAGTTGCCAATCCATACAAGCTCCTGTCGACAGGCCTCAGGCTGGTCTGATTTGGGCACTCCTACAATTGAGACTTGCAGCTCGGGAGACTCTAGGTATGTCGAGTCGATGGTTAAATCTCACGGGGATAGAGCCCTCTGTCTGTTTTCAACGCTGCTTCCCACTCAGTCTTCAGAAAGTCACGTGTTCTCTCCGGTTTGTTTACTCAGCCCTCCCTCTAAGACGACAGAAAACAGACAGCAGAGGAGGGTTTGGCAGCCGTGAGGGAGTACAGATGTCTGTGGGTGGCAGTGTCAGATGGGAAATGTCCCAGCCCTGGGCGACACCTTTAGTGTCTACTTGGGTTCAGAATGTTGGAGGGGAATACTTTAGGCCAGAACATCCTAATTCCCCGGTAGTGGCCCAAGAATTTGAAGTCATATCAATATTTATTGAGCTTTTTTTTTTTTTTTTTTTTTTTTTTTTTTTGGTTTTTTCGAGACAGGGTTTCTCTGTGTAGCTTTGCGCCTTTCCTGGAACTCGCTTTGGAGACCAGGCTGGCCTCGAACTCACAGAGATCCGCCTGTCTCTGCCTCCCGAGTGCTGGGATTAAAGGCGTGTGCCACCACCGCCCGGCTGAGCTTTTTTTTTTTTTTTTTTTTTTTTAATCTGCAGAACTCTCTGCTAGGCAGTTTGGGAAAATATTATCATACATTTCTTGCCTGTAAGGAGTAGTGTGGGGATGGCTAAGTGATTTCACATTGCTTTGTCTTGGAGTTTTTCATAAATGCAATAAATGCAGAGTTAATGACTGATCTCGGAGAATTCAGATGTACCTGGTTCCCCAGGGATGCTTACCACATCTTTAAAAACTATTGATAACTTATTTTTTTAACTGTATTTGCTGTTATGAGAGAAGAATGGGTTTGTTTGGCTTAGTTAATGTGCTAAATTATATTGTTAGTAGTTTTAGACCTCCTCATGGTAAATGGGCCTGCTGAAAAGCTCCCAGGCTGGCCTACTTCACTTCCCTACTCACCAGAAGCTTTATAGACTTGATATTGACCTAACCTGCCTTGCTTCACTTTCTTTGGAAAAACATCCACTGGAGAGTGAATGGCATTCAGACATTTTTCCCTTTGGTTCTGTGGACTGAACCTAAGGCCGCCTCTCTTCATTTCTTCTTGAAATAAATCTTCAACGTCTTCACCCAGCACGTGACTGTGACTAAAGCCAAGTTGGTTTAAGCTGAGGTCGCATTGCTGGGCCTGTGGTCAGTGGCCTCCTTTTACTCACTGTTGACACACGGTGGCACCAGATTGCTAGAAATGGATGAGGGTTTCCCTGCTGCCCTGTGAGAGGAAATGAGGTATCTTGAGCGCTGTACTTTCCTAGACATCTGCAAGGGTAAAACCAATAATAAACCTGTGGCTGCTAATGAGATCTCCCTTTGATTGACTGATTGATTCATTGATTGATTGATTGATTGATTGATTGATTGATTTGTAGTTTCAAAGAATAAGAAATCCTACTAAGAATGCAGTGACTTTCTGGACTCCAGTACAATCCGTATAAGTTTTAAATTGGGGGAAGAAATTACCCTTGACAGTTTGTTTTTCATTGATGTGAGAAAGGGAAGATTTTTCAAAGCAGGTGCCATCCAAAACAATTGTCAAGCCCTGTTAAAACTGAAGAATTAGAGTTTTAAACATGTTCATGTTTGTTCTGTATTTGGCTCCTTTGAGTTAAAAAGGCAAAACAACTGAGTCCTCTTTTCCTCATGTGTTCCAGAATGGACTGTCTCCATTGCACATGGCCACACAAGGAGACCATTTAAACTGCGTCCAACTCCTCCTGCAGCACAATGTGCCCGTGGACGATGTCACCAACGACTACCTGACGGCCCTCCACGTGGCGGCCCACTGTGGCCATTACAAAGTTGCCAAGGTTCTTTTGGATAAGAAAGCTAACCCCAACGCCAAAGCCCTGGTGAGTTGTCCAGCCGTCCAGCCCGAGTGCCTCTCTGAGGGCACGTGGCGCCTCGCATGTGGAGGGATTGCCCTTCCAGAGACAGAGATAAGACAGTGCCTGGAATCGGTGTACTTGTTTGTCTTTGCAAATGTCCTTGAGAGTGGGCAGAGCCTCCTGTGCCGATGAGAACAAAGCCAACAGCTCTTCAGGCTTTCCCTTGTGTTCCTGACTCGTGTTCCTCACTCGTGAAAGCCTGACGCTACACAGTTGCAAAATGACTGACATGACCAGCTTCATCTCGCATGGAAAAGTCACTAGTCCCTGAGTTAGACTTTGAGCAATTTTCTTGTTGCTTTTCTGACACATAAAATCTTGAAGCAAACCAGGCATGACAGCTTAAACCTCTTATCCCAGCACTTGTAAGGCTGAGGCAGGAGGATTACTGTGAGTTCAAAACCAGCCTGATTTATAGAGTGAGACTTTGTCTTTGGGGGAAATATATATATAAAAAATAGCAGAAGAGATCTGAGTTCGAGGCCAGCCAGGTCTATATAGTAAGTTCCAGGCCAGCAAGAGCTACACAGTGAGACCCTGTCTTAAAAATAATAATAATATAGCCGGGCGGTGGTGGCGCACGCCTTTAATCCCAGCACTTGGGAGGTAGAAGCAGGCGGATCTTTGTGAGTTCAAGGCCAGCCTGGTCTACAGAGCGAGATCCAGGAAAGGCGCAAAGCTACACAGAGAAACCCTGTCTCGAAAAACCAAAAAAAAAAAAATAATAATAATAATAATAATAATAATAATAATAATAATAATATTTGTCTAAGAATTTGTGAGCTGAAATAGTGTTAACCTTCGATTTTTCTCGATAAGACAATGTTGTTGTTAAAATAATCCTTAGTAAGGTGTTGGTATTTCATTCAGAATAAGCACTTTGCGCTCAGGGAAAGGATGAAAATGCCCAGCTTTAGAGAAACCATTGATTTACTGGTAATTTTGAGGTAAAGGTTGTAACTGCATCTGGCTAACCCTTGCAGGCAGATTTCTGCTTCCCTCCAACGCTGTATTGTCCTTCAGAGCTCTAGAGACTCTGGCCTCTGCCCTTCAGGTGCCTGAAATTCAGGGTAGGGAGGGGGAGTGGGAATTCCATACACAGCAGGCAGCTCCTTTGTATTATAATCTCAACCACCTCGGGAGCTGTTTGACCTGCCTGGTGTGTCAAAAGCCTCTGCATTCTGAGAAGGGAGGAGAGCCCTGAGTGACCATGACTCACTCATTTTTCCATATGAGAAAAAAAAAGGGGGGGCCTTAAAGCAGGGCGTGTGCCTCTCTCTCATTTTCCTATGACTAAACTTTTCCCAACAGAGGGGCATTGTAGACAGTTACCCTGGGATGAACTGTGGCCAAAGAAATGGTCCCAGGAATCTCCGTGGAGGCACCTGCTGTGGCTTTGACCTCAGCCTGTCTGGCGGACTTTGGCATTGTACACTTCCCTACCAACAGCTGAAATGAGTGGCCCTGTCTCAGCTGTTGGGCAGAACAGTCTGGTGGGTAATTGGTTTAGAAGCCAATCCTTTTATGAGATGAAACATTCGAGCAAATGAGCTAAGTATTATTGAGTCATCTAAGTCCTGGTGTCTTTAGAGTGAGCTTGTGCTCAAGTTTTGTCTTGTTTTTCAAGACAGGGTCTCTCTACATGGCCCTGGCTATCCTGCAGCTCACCCTGTAGACCATGTTGGCTTCAAACTCAGAAATCCCCCTGTCTCTGCCTCCTGAGTGCTGGGATTAAAGGCTGCACCACCGCAGACCAGCCTTGTGCTTGAGTCTTAAGGCAGCAGAGTAAATGAAACTCTAGCGCTTGTAAATAGCAATGTCCTGTCACCCAGGGAACAAGTCAGAACAGGCGCTGTCGAAGCCTGGCTGTGCAAACAAACTTCTGCTCATTGTGCTGGTGTTTTTCCGAGCTCGTTTTGTATTTGTACTGAGGCAGAAGAGGGAACATTAGCTCCATAACTCAATAGAAGAATAGGAAGTGCTCAGTGAACCTACCCTGGTCCCTAGCTACTGAGTCTCAGGAGGTCCAACTTCAGATCTAACGCTTGTGGGGTCCAGGTAAGAGGCAGGACACTAATGTCTCTCTCGAAGACAAATCCATCCTCCCAGATTATGTGATTTTGATGGTCCAAGTTTACAGATCTGGGCAGTGGTGATTTTTGTAAGGCTTGGGATTCTTGGAGAGTTGCCCACAGGCAGGAAGAGAGTGGACACTTGAGAGTCATAGTAAAGTCATATGAAGGACTAACTGGCTAGAGTGAGGTCAGGCCGTTTAGGTGTGGCACAGGCATTTAAAAACACACACACACACACACACACACACACACACACACACACACACACACCCGCTGCCGCCAAAAGAAAAGAGCAAAAAAAAAGGACATTAGCTAGTGTGATGGCACATGGCTAAAATCCCAACCAGAAGAAGAAAGCAGGAGGGCTGGAGAGATGGTTCAGTGGTTAAGAATGCTAGCTGCTCTTCCAGAGGACTCAGGTTCAATTCCCAGCACCCACACAGCAGCTTAGAACTGTTTGTAGCTCCAGTTCCAGGGGACCTCCTCTGGCCTCCACAGGGCATTGTGTGCACCCGGTACACAAACGTACATGCGGCACCCATACACATAACATAATAATGTAAAAATGAGAACAATCAGAAGACATAGGTCTGAGTCTAGCCTGGCCTACCTACATCATGAGACTCTGAGTCAAGAATCCAACTAAGGGGCTGGAGAGATGGCTCAGTGGTTAAGAGCACTGGCTGCTCTTCCAGAGGACCCGGGTTCAATTCTCGGCACCCACATGGCAGTTCACAGCTGTCTGTAACTCCAGTTCTAGGAGATTCAACACCCTCATACAGGCAAAACTCTAATGAACATGAAATAAAAATAAATAAATCATTGGTATATATTTTTTAAAAAATTAAAAAAGAGGGCTGGAGAGATGGCTCAGCGGTTAAGAGCACTGACTGTTCTTCCAGAGGTCCTGAGTTCAATCCCAGCAACCACATGGTGGCTCACAATCATCTGTAATGAGATCTGGCGCCCTCTTCTGGCCTGCAGGCATACATGCAGACAGAATACTATATACATAATAAATAAATCTTTAAAAAAAATTAAAAAAGATTTTAAAAAATCATTTGAAACAGTGAACTCCAAAATAAGGAAGTGTATGAATAGTTTGCCTTTCCCTACTGGGAACTTATCACCAACTTATACTTCCCGCTTAGGACCACCTGGGAACCTTAATAGGAACCGGTCCAGGCTCCTTTTCCTCCCAGGAAAGAAGAGCCATGTGTCTAACCTCTTGTGGTTTTGAAGTCTG